CTGAGCTCAATATGATCTGCCAATCTTGCAATTTGGATCTTGTAGCCTCATCTCTGATCAGGTCATACTCACATCTCAATTTTTAAATGCCACTGTGTTCCACATGCTTGTGTCAAGCTTGTGATGGTACACCTCACCATCTTTATTTTTATACATTGGTGTCATCTGGATCTTGAACACTTTCTTTAAGCAGGTTGATTTCAATATTTGTTAATGTCCTAGTTCTGAATTTGTTGATTTGCACAAATCCAAGATGCACGAGTGTTATGTGTTGGCTTGTTAGGTGACACCTTGATGCGAAGGTCAATGATCGAGCAATATCTAATCATTAATACAGGTCACAGACAAATTGGCATACAATGCAATAACCAACAACCAGAGGAAAGATGATTAATATGTATACTAGTAGCTAATTAATGACAGAACCCACGTGAGTGTTTTCTGAGTTCGTGTGTGTGATCATATTGGCTTCTGAAGTTACTAATACCGTCAGATCTCAGTCATAATTCTCAGGCAAGATATAAGAAATGGCATAACTACAAAGAAACATGAAATGCAGTTATAAGGTTATTATGACAGGTCTGTCATATCTTTGTTATTATGACAAATTGTTGGCATTACAATGGTGCACAATGATTAGTTATAATGGAAAATAGAGAAATAACGGTTAGCATTTGGCCAAAATCTGTTCACGCTATCATAAATCTTTTCAAGGACAAATATTGATACTTTAGTTTGTCCAAAACCATTTTGTAGTTGTTTATCTAAATGAAGTCAATGGCCTTTCGTAGTTTATTCGGAAATTTTTCCTCATGTATTTCTACACAGGTCTTCTTTTTGGTCTGTCCACACCTAAGACTCCTCTCACACTCCATATTGCCGTATCTTTATTGATTTATTTATTTCTTTTTGCAAGCAATGATGCCTGCCTATAGTGATATAGTGATGTCTCTACTAACAGATATCAATTTTGTAGCTGCACATATACTTTGACTCCTCCATCATCTAAATCACATGGTAAATCACTGATCATTCAATGCTCCATCTACATTCCACTACACAACCTTTTCAATTTGAAAAATATATCAGAAGATTTCTCTGATTGATGGACCAATTCTTGCTTGTGTCATCCATTTTGAGTTGTTCAACAAGAAATCTGAGTTAACTGTGAAGACAACAACAAGATTTGAAGTATTGGAATTATTGTATCAGATATTTAATATGAATACGGATTGCTATACAAAATGTTGAAGTGAGGCTGATATGGTAATCTACTAAAATTGTTATGCTGATCATAGTGTACATCGTCATGCCTTTCTGAACCCAGGTAGTTAAGCAGATGAACAATGCTCTGAATGATCTGCGTGAACACTCGCAAACTTCAGTTCTATGCTCTAGCAATTGCATTCTATTATGGAACTCACTACCCTGTAATAATAATCATGATACTCTTTCCAGGATACGTACTTTAAAGAAGCATGATATGTCCCATTTCCATCCCTCTTCTTCCTGTCGCGTGCCACGTAACATCTTTTTCAGTGCACTGAAGAGAAACGACCACCAGCAAGTCTTCAATCTCCCTGTCTGCATTGTCAAGAAAGATGACACCAGATGAGCAGATGCAGTTGTGATTGGATTCAGTTCCCCGGAGAATCTACCCACCATAGGTATGTCACAATCCTTATCAACACATTTTCCCTTAAACTGCTTCAGTGATCTCGAGAATTACATCACATTGTTGTCTGCCTTCTTAGCAAAGCGAAAGTGAGCATTCACTTCTTCGAGCGCAGCATCATCTCATCTTGGATGTGTTTTTTTACTTTGGCCAGGCTGTCTTTCGAATTACCGCATAAATCCAGCATCAACTCATCTTCCAGCCATTTCCACTGCATGTAAAATTGAAGGCTTGGTTGCATGGTGACTGAACAAGCCCCTCATTGATTCTTGTGCAGCTGCAATCTCTCTCAACCACTTGAATATATTGAAAGGCATATCAGCATAATAACTGATGAAGAGGAAAGGAAATGTGTGTGGGGTTTCATTCTTTTACTCCCCTGCATATAAGCCAACAACATCCGCATCTTTAGGTTGGTCAGATGGGAAACGACAAGAATAGCGGTATTTCTTTTCTTTACTCTCCCACTCTTTTGTGAGTTGCAATGTAATTCTTTTACTGACATTTTCCAAATAGGTTAGTGATCATTTCTGTTTCTGTAATTCTTGAAGAAATGGATGCCTGGCACTTTGTGCATCACACAACATGTCATGTCCCATCAATTAGCAGCAAGATGCAAGACCAGAGACTAACAACTATTACATGGTTCATCGTAGTCAGAAACACAAAGAATCTGATCAAGACATATGTTACGGCATTAGAATATATTAACTCCTCAACTAAAGTATTTGTTTATGATGCACAGGTGCAGTATGGCTGCTTGTCTGCCCAACAATCTACCACTCTCTATGGTGGTTTGCTGGATCTGCACATATATGTTTTAGGTGAAGTAGGAGTGTGCACATGTTGATAATGGCCCTTGAGTACATATGGTCAGCAACGCACATCTTGGAGTGATCTCAATGGCAAGATGTTCTGCAGAACAGAAAGATTCCAAAGTATTATATAGTTGGGTTTCCTTCAAGAAACACAAAGAAGTTGTGTATATGGTCAAGCTGTGGCCAACCTGGTATGTCTCATTCTTAGCTCTACTAACCTAGGATTCACCATGATGCGCAGGTCCTGCATGTGGTTGTCACTCTAATATCCGATTTGTCACATTTTAAATCAAAATACCATTTGATCAAACCGCCACAAATATGTTTCTTAGAATTTACTATTTGGGAGAACATAATGTGTCATGTCCTCTTTTTATTAAGCTTATTTATGTCCTTGAGAGAGCTTATTCATGAGCTTACATCGCGGCTGCTCGCAAGTCTAAGTGAATTGAGGTTAGCCATATTCCAACATGGCTCTTTAAAAATTGAATTATGTAACAAGAATCATGTTTACACCCGAAAAAAGTATAAGCTCTGGCGAGCCATAATGAATCTAAATATTGAGCTCAGGTTGTAGAAGTATTTTTTGCAAGTTATTAGAAGCATTTTTCTGAAATTCTTACATTTGTGCTTATTAAAAATGGTTTGAAACAGATACATATTTTTAGAAGCAACACTGAAAAGAATAGGGAAAAGAAATTATTGTCAATCACTATTACGGGAAACGGGAAACGGTATAGAGTGCATTGTATGTCTTTTCCAAAATTGATACAATATACAGTCATTAGCAGTTCCTCTAAAATGCAGATGCTAATGAGGGCATGCGAGCAAAAATGCTGTTGAGATCATTACAGGCTTAGGATGTTAAGAAGAGAGACTCTATTTTTGATTAGTCTTCTAAATAAGCATTCTAATCCTGTTTCAATATCTTCGATGCTGTTTTGTAATGTCCGCAGCTGATTTTGTGCCCTCTGTATCTTCCCTTCATTATCTTCAATTTCCTCTTGGTCGCCCTCACAGGCCACTTTCCTCTTTTGCAATGCCTTTGAGATAAGAGACCATCTGCTAGCTTTGCCTTGCGGCGTCGGCATGGACAAGAATTTGAAGATGGACTGGAGAAGGGAAATGGTGATTGCTCTTGCTTCCCTCAGAATCTCGGTCACCATCCATGAGTCCTTGCCGTTGGTACAACATGAGACATACTTGTCATCCATCTGCTTCAGTAATTTGAAGATACTCTTGATACTCTTCTCTGCCTTCTTGTCAAAACGAATGTGAGTATACATCTTGCTCTCTGCAACTGTTACTCCTTGTCCTCTGAGGTCTATTTC